GATCTAAATATATATACAGTAGTTATACTTCACACTTGGTCATGAAGGTGCCATTTTTACATAATTTGCCTTAAGAATAATTCATTCTTAATAATTTTTATTTGGCCTTAATCATTTTTAATTGATTATATGAATTAGTTTCAATATCAGTCTTTTTATTTTAGCTGTCTATTATGAGAACCTTCAAACATATACAGCAATTGAGTGTCCAGCTTCAACAATTATTAACTTCTGGCCAATCTTATTTCATCTGTAACATCCTCCACTTACACATTTACCCCTATGTTATTTTCAGGCAACTCCTGAGTATCATATTATTTTACCCATAAATGTTTCAGTGTACGTCTCTAAATACTTTTAAACTTGAAAAACCAGTAATTCTTTAATATCAAAAAACCAGTCAGTATTCAAATTTATAGTTGTCCCATGAATTTTACAGTTTCTTTAATATTTTAAAGGTGGATCCAGATAAGGTCCATACATTGTGATAGGTTGATATGTCTTTTAAGTTTCTTTGGATCTGTAGATTTCACTTCTTTTTTGTTTTCCTTATAGTTTATTTGTTGAAGCAATTGAGTTGTTCAGTAGCAGTTCCATAGTTGATAATTGATTACATCTCTGCAGTGTGATTTAATGTGTTTCTCTCTATTTGCTGAAAATTAATAGCTGGATCTAGATAAGGTGTGGTCAGATTTAGGGTGCATACATACGTCAAGATGCCTTCCTAGGTGGGCTGTGTGCTTCTGTCTAGAGACACCCTGAGGTTCTATGCCCATCTCTATTTTACAGACGAGTACATTTGCTTGCCCCAGGTCACCCAAATAAATGGCAGACACACTGGGAGTCTAATTCCAGGGTCCTCATATTAACCACTGCTCCACTATGCCCTACCATATTTATTGTGCTTAGTTTTGCCTTTAACAGACATTTACTGGGCATCCACTGTGTTATTAGTAGAGGATTGAGAAATAAATCAGACATATTTTTGGCCCTTAAGGAACTAGAGATAGACCTGCAATGCAATATAAAACAAATACAGATCGGCAAAAAAGGGGGCATGCCCAGCACAGTTTGAAGGAAAAGGATATAGAAGAAAACTTAGAAGAGAAGCAGGTGCTTGAACTAGATTTTGAAGGAGAATGAAGGTTGACCAGGAAAACAAAAAGGAGAGGGCAGTTGTTTCAGGCAGATGGAACAGCTTGAGGTCTGAGGTACACAGTAGCCATGTGTGTCTGCTGATCCCAGGTGGTTTGATATTGTCAGAGAGTGGGCCGGGGGCCTGCTGTCTTCTATGTTGTGCTAAGGCAGTCAGTCACTATTGAAGGAATGCAGACAGGAGAATGATATGATCACTGCATATTTGCAACAAACCTCTTCTTAAAATTCCTTATTAGAAATAAGTATAAATTCATAAGAAGTTACAAAAGTAGTACAGAGAGGGCCCATGAACCCTTCACCCAGTTTTCTCCAATAGTTGTATATTTACATGACTATAGTATAGTATCAAAACTAGGAAATTGGCATTGGTACAACGTGTGTACAGTTTTTGTCATTTTTTATCACGTGGAGATTTGTATAAACACCACCACCACAGTCAAGGTTCAGAACTGTTTTATCATCCCAAAGATCTCCTTGTGCTACCCCTTTAAATCTATGCCACCTTACCCCTGGCAGCCACTAATCTGTTCTGTATCTCCATAATTTTGTCATTTAAAGAATGTTGTATAAGTGGAATTTTACAATATGTGACCTTTGAGATTGGCTTTTTTCACTAAATATAGTGCCCGAAGATCCACCCAAGTTGTTATGTGTATCTCGATTTGTAGTTTGGTTGTTTCAGTTGCTCAGTAGTAGTCCATGCTATGGATGTGCAGCAGTTTAACCATTCACACACTAAAGAATATTGAATTGTTTCTGGTTTTAAGCTATTACAAATAAAGCTGCTATGAACATTTGTATACAGGTTCTCATGTAGACAGATCTCTCTTCCTAAAGTGGCGTGTGTGCAGTGGTTTACATGCATCAGGAATGGAGACTGGAGAGCACTTCTGCTGTGTCTAGGTCCCGGGAGCAATGAGAAGGCCTTACCCAGGGCACTGGAATGTGGGCTGGAAAGGGGGAGAATGAACAGGCCCTGGTGGATGAAAGCGGTCTGGTGGGGAGGGTTCTCGCTGAGTCCTTAGGAGCCAACAGTGAAGTGATAACCCAAACTAGTTGTTACTCTATATCGTAGTGTGTACGGTAGCTTAAGAACTGATGTCCAGAGGATGGCCCTGGGAGACTGTAAGGTTCTTGATTATCAAAGAAAAGTTAAGTTGTTATACTAAGGTATTTTTCTTAAGAATTAAAGTAGGAAAATAGAACAATTTGATTAAAAAAATTCAATAGCAAGTATTAAAGAGTGATGGTGAGAATCTGCTTTTAATCATAGCTATCAGGTGGGTATTTTGAAATTATTGTGATTAAAGGTTGAATTGAATCTGTAGATCACTGACTCACCTTCATCATCAGGAAAAAAAGTGTTTTGGTAGGGGAAGCCAGCAGGATGAAACGTGAAAGCCTGTGTTTTTCTGTCCTGGTCCTGACCAGCCTTGGACACAGGGCTTTGCTTTCTAAATAAAATTAGAGATGTTCGAATGGTGTGTTGGGAGGAACATAAATATTGTGGTCAAACCACCTAGATTCAAATCTGGGCCATGCTGAGAATTTGGGCAACTCCCTTACTGTCTTCAAACCTCTGTTTCCTCATTTGCAGAGTGGGGTTGATAACAGTGCCCCTCATAAGTTATTCAAAGAGTGTTTATAAATACAGACATGACCCTGGCCCACTTTCCTGTCTCCAGTCTCACCTGCCTCAGACCCATCCTCCATGCATGTGTCAGAGTGATCATTCTGCAGCTCTTCCTTTAAAAATTTTTGTTTAATCGGTTTTTTAATGTGAAATATGTGCATTTTTTTTAAAAAATCAAAACAAAATTATGAGAAGAGTGAAAGTTTTTCATTTCCCACTATTTCTCTGTACTTCCTAGCATAGTGTGTATGTGTTTTTATGTAGATTGCCATTTATTAAGTGCATTCTTTTTCAACTTGCTTTATTTCTTTATATATCTTAGACATCTTTCCATATCAATACATAAAGTCCTTGCATTCTGTTTAAAGGCCTTACTGTACTTTTATGCCATAATTTATTCAGTAAGTCCGCAATGTACATTTTAGGTTATTTCTGGTTTTTTGCCTATTACAAGAAAAGTGCTATAAACATTTTTGCACAAATATCTTTGAATACTTGGATACATACATTTGTCAGATACATTTATGGAATTGTGGTTGTCAGGTTAGGATTCATGTGCATTTAAAATTTTCATTAGCTATTACCTATGTTCCTTCCAAAAAATGTTTTACCAATTTACAGTTCTCACCAACATGTATGAAAGTACTCATTTCTTCATGCTTTGGTTGATACAGTGAAGAGACTTGAGCTCAGGTCTTGCCTCCTCCAGGAGGCCTTCCTGCACATCCACCTATCTCTCTCTCCCTGTACTCCTTTCCCTGCCAGCTTTTGAGAAGCTCATGGCCTGAGGGAGGAAGGCAGACCTGCAAAAGCTGCTGCAGCACAGCGGTGGCGGCTGCACTGCGCAGAAGCAGCACGGAGGGAGCCTGTGCTGGACTGACGGTGGTGCTGGAGCAGCACAGCGTGCTGCTCACGTGGTTGCATGAAGAATCCATGTACTTCCCATTCGTAAAGCTGTCTTCTGAGCCCCACTTGATAGTCTGTTTTGTTGAAATATAATCTCAGCAGTTGACTCATTAATAGCTAAAGTACATGCTTTCTTGGGTTACCTTGAGATTCTTTCTCTTGCTCTCATGAAGTCAAAGCTTGACAGAGAAGGTAGCTTTGACAGCTTCTCTCTTACGTGATTTTTTTTTTTTTTTTTGCTTCCTAATAGGGCAACTTATTTTAATTTTAGAATTGTGTTAAATCTTGAGATGAAGTTATATTAATAATTCTAGAACCTAATAAGATTGAATATACTCCCCAAATTCAAAGAAGCTAACCTAACATTGTACTTACTAGTCTGAGTATAGGTTACAAGCAACTGTAGCAGAGATTTGCAGACTGCTCAACAGGGTTGAGGTTGATTTGTGTCAGTCCCAGCATGGGCAGGTGGCCCAGAGTTGGGGGCAGCTCTGTGCCACAGTTCTTTCAGGAATCTGGCTGGTGGGCGGCTCTGCCGTCAACAGCATGTGACTTCTGTCTCTGGATTTGCGACAGCTGATCCTTCAGCTAGCAGCAAGGGAGAAAGATAGACTGGAGAGCAGGCGGCTTTCTATAAGAACAAATGTGATCTGGAGCTTGCACACATGACTTCTACTCACGTTGCATTGGCTAGAAGTCGGTCAACTGGCCATACCCGGCTGCTGGAAAAGCTGCCAGATATTGTCTCTAGTTGAACAGCCATTTGTCCCACAGGAAAGGGGAAGCTTCTGTTACTAAAGCGAGGACAAAAGGAATGGATCTTGGAATATCTCAGCACCTGTGCGTACCTCTGGTGGTTGGCTGTCTCCCATGGCCCTGAGAACCAAGCCCAGATGGCTCCTCCCAGGCTCATGGTGATCTGGCCACATTTTCTCTCTTTGCTCCATTCTCCCTCTATCCAACAAAACTAAATCTCAAATGACTTACCGCATTCAGAGTGTGCCTCCACCTGTCTATAGATGCTACTTTTCCACCCCATAACTCCTAATTGTTTTTATCCTTTGGGATTTAGGACCCTTCCTGTGTGGGGTCTCTTCCTGAGTATGGGTTCACTCAGGGCAGGCGCTGTGTTCTGGCACGGGACCTCATCCGCAATGGACGCTCAGTAAATGCTTTGAAATGACCAGTGTTGTTGGTGTATTTACAATATGGCAGAGGAACAGCTGCCCCAATAAAGCAGGTTGTAGTGGGTACCTGCGTTTTTGCTGATTCTGTCTCTAATCCTTTGCACTTATCCTCCTAGCCAAGCTGAGCAATTCACCGTGTCTGGACACAGTCAGTGTGAGCTCTGTGCCTCTGCTCTCCAACTCTGACAAAATAATCTAAGGCGGATGTCGCCTCCTCCATGAAGCCTTCCTTGTCTTCTGCACCCCTGCCAGAGGGTAGGATCTCTTTTGTCTTTTGATTTTGTTTACATTTTCCTTATGGTCCTTACCGTGTATTATAATATAGATAATAGATTTGCTCCTCGCACTTCTACCCCCAATAGAGAATTATATGCTGTTTCAAGACTAGTTCCTGCCTGACCATGGTATACTGTCTATAGTACTTACTACTTTTTTGTCCAAAGGCACCCCTTAAATGTTGAGTTGAATTGTTTCAGCCTCTTGCAAACTATAAATAAGTTCATCTCTAGACAAGGATATTCCTTTAGATGTCAGTAAAATGGAGCAGCATTGTGGGGAATTATTAAATGCCGTAGTATGAGTCAGATCATCAAAGGTTTATTAAATGTGCACACCCTCCCGGGGATCAGTGCCTCCCTATCCTACTGGCCTTGGAGTTTGAAATGCCATGGTGAGGGAAACAGACCTGTTCCACCTTCCTGGAGCTCAGGGCACAGTGACCTGGCAGCCTAGGTCAGCTCCTGAGTCCCCGCACAGCAATGTGGCCTGGGCAAGTGTTCCAGCTTGCTCAGCTTCGGGTTGCTCCAGTGTAACACGGGCTGATAATCCTGCTGTGTGGGTCGTTGTGAGTTGTTTGTCCGGCGTCGAATGTAGTATGGTGTCCCAAGAGTCACTCCCTGACCAATGCTCATGGCTCTCGGCAGGAGTGGCTGGTCAGCTGAGCCACCTCGACTGCAGCCACTGCCCCGAGAATGGTGGGAAAAACAAAGAGCAGTGGTCAGCTCGAGAAATTATTAATTTGACTTCAGTTCTTTATTTTAGATGTTATTTATTTCCATATTTAAGGAAACTCCTCAACACTATTGTGCTGAAATACAAATCATCACTACAAAACCTCACTGAGTGTTAAACATTAGATGGTAGAATAAAAAAGCAAGGAATTTGATGGAGCTGTAGGATAAAATTTAAATTTGTGTTTTTAAACAATATAAGATGTTTACATATATGATTTTGTTGCAGGCGTTATAATTTTTAAAGAAGACCAAAATAAACCACTTACTGACTTTTTTTTTCCCCGCTTGCTGACTTTTAAATAAACATCATCAGACAAGAACCAGGGAGCCAGATAAATGTAACTGCCCCCCAATTTCTGCTTGCTTATTTGCCACTCAAACCCTGTGGTTTCAGTGCTGCTTTCTGGGGGCTGCCAGTTTATACTCAGACGTTTGTGAATAAACTTCATAGTGTTGATAGTATTGACCGTGGGTCACAGCAGAGATCTCCGTGTACAGATCTCTGTACCAAATCCCTGTGGTGTTATGGGACTTGGGGGCTGCAGGCCAGTACTGGGCCCCCTCTTGAGGCAGGAGCACACACAGCACACCAGTGTCACCAGTCCTCTAACCGCGTGTCACTTGGCGTATGAATCGTGCTTTCTGGTTCATCACCTTAACCTGACTTAGCAGAAGACTGGTCCATCTGCTTTTCTTTAGGAACTCTAGAAGTGATCATTTGGAACATTGTCCCATCGCTGGTTGAGACTGCTAAGCGTGAACTGGTCCCTTAGGAGGGAGGCTGATGGGAAGTGTACAGGGATGTAGACTTTTCGTGGCCAATAGTAATGTATAAATTCTTTTCCCACAGGTGGTTCTTTTCTAATCCAAACCTTTAAATGTGGTCTTGTTTGGCTCAAAATTTCTTCCATTTTAATAGTCTTATACCACTGAAATATCTTTGCATTTTTTGTGTGTCTTGCTTAATTAAGTTTGGAACTTGGTGAACCTGAGTTTATCAACTTAATAACCACATTGTCTTATATACTGATAAGTTTGAAATGCTATTAAGTGAGCTGTGTACGTATAATTTCAGTAAGAATGCACATTGTGTTTTTCTTTGAAGGAATTTGACAACTTACCAGCCCTTGGGAACATTACATGACACTGCATCATGAGTGACAGTGAATGTGATAGTCAGTTTTACAGTGTCCAAGTGGCAGACTCAACCTTCACCGTCCTGAAACGCTACCAGCAGCTGAAACCAATTGGCTCTGGGGCCCAGGGGATCGTTTGGTAAGTATGGTCTATTTTAATAGTGTGGATTAAGTTTTTGCTGTAATAAAAAGTAAAACTGAATCATCAGAATTTAGAAATACTGATGTTAAATACTCTTTGTTATAGGTTTATGAGCTAAATTGAACCAACCTATTGCTCTAGTTATATGTGGTCAGGCTACAGGCTACAAACTCAAATTCTTAGAATGCTGCATAACTTTAAATAGGTAGCAATTTTTCCTTTTTTTTTGGTTTGTTTCTGTTTCTTTTTTTTTTTTTTTTCATTTCGCCTGTCATTATGATATCAGAGTAATAGGTATGACAGTGAGTTGTAACAGAAATTTGGCATTTTATTTATTTCTTCATCATGGCCACCTTTTCCCCCCCTCCCCCTTTTATTCCCAATCACTCCTGTTCATTTCTAGGCACCATCATTGCAGTGCCTGCCATTCATTGACAGGATGAGGCAGTCAGTGTCATTATCACTCCATGGATTAACCAGGAAGGGATGCCGTGTGAGGGTTGGGCTGGCCGTCTCTCCCTTGGTGTCTCACTTCAACCATGTGTCCAGCCCAGGACGTCAGAACCGTTAGTCTGACCCTGAACCTTAGTCTCTTGCATGGTAAGACAGGCAGCTGCCGCGACATCACTGGCCGGCTAAAGGTAAAGTTTTTCACATGTTTTCTAGACTACAGTTATCAGCACTTCCCAAACTTTTATTCTGGGCAAAACTCTTTTTTTTCTTTTTTTGGTCAATGAAAACAAGATTATCTTTGTACCTAAAAGAAACTGTGATGAAGCTAAACATCTGATGTTTACAGCTAGTAGGAGGAAGGGAATCAAGATAAAAGAGAATTCTTTTGGACGTTTTGGTAGGAGAGTTTAAGTTGACATATAAAACTGTAGAGGTTAGAGAGTCATCATCAGTGGTTTTTAACTGATCCTATAGTGCAGAGACATGTGATCAGGGGAATCAATTGTTTTCTTCAGCTTAGGTGGTTGAAGGCCCTGCGAGCTAAGAGGATATTGCAGTCCAGAGCTTCTGAGAAAAACTAACAGGGGAGAAGGGGCTGTTTGGTAGGAATGCCAGCCTGTGTCTAAAATGGTGATGATCTTAACTTCCAAATGATAATAGCTATATTGGTACTTAAATCCAGTGTTGTGCCAAAAGAAGTTTTAAAGTCAATGGGTGGTTCACATTAGGAAACTTGGATGGTAATAAAAAGTCATAAACAACAAAATATTCGTTTTATTTATAATCCATCTCTTATTTGGAATTAGATGGTTATTTGACACAGATAATTTGGCGCATGTGCATGAGAGAGAGAATTGAAAGAGAGGTAGCGAGAAGCAGGAAATAGCAAAGGTCTCGCGGGGGGCAGTCATTTAGGGCTATAGACAGGTAACGGTTTTAAACATGGGCCTCATTTATCCCAACTGGCTTGTCATTCACTTGTTTTTGAAAGTTAGTAGTAATGGAAACATTATCTAGTCACTGTGAACTCTGCCATAAACCTCATAGTACAAATGATGAAATTAGGACTGAGAAGGTTTGTTGACTTCTCCCCATCTCACAGAGTGTCAGTGATAGGCCTGGTTTTAAAACCCAGCTGATGGCCTTTTGGGACCAAAGATTTGTACTTTTGGTCCCACATGGTTGTACTGAGGAAAGGTTTGTTGATTACTTTGAGCCACTGATACTTTTTGGTATGACCAGGACTCTGACCTAACCTCTCTTTAGAATCTTAGTAATAGTGAGTAAATTGTCACTAAATGCCATTAGAAAATTCTGTTACTTTTCTTTATCTCTCTATAAGACAATGGTTGTGTTCAAGAACAGTTTTAATTTTTATAGCCATAACTGATACTCAGTTTTATGGTGTCCTCCCATCTTATGTTCTAATGGGGAAAGCGAACAATTTGTAAGTGATTTTAGTTTCCTTTTCCCCCTTTCTCTTTTGTGTCCATCCTTCACCAGGCTATGAAGCACCAAGTGGAATTAGAACTAATCTGGTTATGGCACATTCCTGTTCTTTTTTTTAAAGCTTACTATTCTTCAAATAAACTCAACAATAGGTTAGCTACTACTTTGACAAGAGGAATTGGGTTTTCTAACATATTCCTTCTTAAAATATTGCCATTATACCTTTAATTGATTTAATGATCCAAAACTTACATTTGTCACTATTGTACTTTAAAATTATCTATCAATGATCTTTTGAGGGTGTGGTAGCAGAATGGCCTTGCCAGAGATGTCCACATTCTAATCCCTGGAACCTGTGAATATGTTACTTCACATGGCAAAAAGAACCTTGCAGATGTGATTAAATTAATGATCTTGAGATGGGGGATCATTCTGGATTAGCAGGTGGGTTCTTCTTATAAAAAGAAACTAGGATGGTCATAATCAGAGATGATGTGATGACAGAGCAGAGTTTGGAGTGACACAGGGCCACAGCCAAGGAATATAGGCAGCTGCTAGAAGCTGGAAAAGGCAGGGAGCAGCTTCTCCCCTCGAGCCTCCAGAAAGAATGCAGTCTTGCTGACATCTTGATTTTAGCCCTATTTAAGACCCATTTTGGACTCTGATCTCCACACTGTAAGATAATAAATATGTGTTGTTTTAAACTAGTAAATTTGTGGTAACTTGTTCCAGTAGCAATAGAAAACTAATACCGGGGGCCATGTGTGTTTTCATATTTTTGAGAAATAAAATATCATAATAGCAACAGTGTATGATTTATACAGCTAGTTAATCTTCTGTATAAATCAGAGCTCAATGAAGACCTAGGGAGGTGTGCAGATGAACCAAAGTGTAGGCCGGGCCGGGGACTTTTATACGAGTGAAACAAAGAGCTAGAACCAGAATAAAGTATTCTTACTCATGGTTTTGAATTGTTTTTATAATTGTCTTTGATTTGTTTGTTTCTGTGTTTCTGTTCCTTAAAAAATTAGTAAAATTTATTAGGAAATAAGTTTTAAAATGTTTATCATTTTGAAGTATTAATAAATATCAACTAAGTTATATAGTAAAATTAATTGTAAGATTGGGGAAAATGTATATATGTTTCTTTCATATATATTCAGTTTTTCTTTCTCCTTGTAAAGTCTCAAGTTCTTCAAGCCGAGTGTGGTGGTGGCACTTGCAGTCCTATCTACTCGGGAGGCTGAGGCAGGAGGATCACTTGAGCCCAGGAGTTCGAGGCTGCAGTGAGCTGTGATCATGGCACAGCACTCCAGCCTGGGTGACAGAGCCAGAGCCTGTCTGTCTCTAAAAAATAAAAATAAATAATAAATAATACTTTAAAAATCTCAGGTTGTTCAACCAAAAAGTAAAGCTTACTCAGTTTATGAAACAGTTCTATGAAATGTTCAACCTTTAAAAAAGAAAGTTTAATATTAATTCCGGCAGTACTTAGAAGTAACAATTATAGCCTTAATATGAAATAATCAGTATAGCTTTTTTTTTTCTTTCTTTTCTTTTCTTTTCTTTTCTTTTCTTTTCTTTTCTTTCTTTCTTTTCTCTCTCCTTCCTTCCTTCCTTCCTTCCTTCCTTCCTTCCTTCCTTCCTTCCTTCCTTCCTTCCTTCCTTCCTTCCTTCTTTCTTTAGCATAGGGACTGACGCCAATGGGCACTACAAAACAACACTCTAGACCCTGGAAGAGGAGAAAGGAATAAGAAAAATAGAGAGGAGGAAAAAAAAGAGATGAGAGAGAAAAACAGGCAAAC